GTACTTGCAGTAAAACATTGCATGTTTAGTGTGGGTTTCGATCCAACTCGGACCCAAACCAACTCGGACCCAAGCCAACTCGGACCCATGCCAACTCGGACCCACTACCAACTCGGACCCATGCCAACTCGGACCCACTACCAACTCGGACCCATGACCAACTCGGACCCACTACCAACTCGGACCCATGCATGACCAACTCGGACCCATTGTTTTCAATCATTCGAAATCGTTTTCAATCATTCATTTCAAAAAGTTTTTCCACTTCTCATCTGTTATTACAGTGATCCTGATTAGTATAAATTTTCATTGTAATTGTAAGGTAAATTATCTCATATCTGTATTGCAGCAGTATAACATTTTTAAGTGCATTAAAATGCTATTTTGAAATGCACTTTAACTTGAAGTGTAATTAATTATTTATTATTTTCATTTGTTTTCCATTAAAACATATTGCGCTTTAAAAGTTTAACCAATTGTTTATTTTTATTCAAACATATTAATTGACATCGTTCACACCATCTTGCTAAATTTAACAGCAAGTTATTTCATTTTTAATCCAAAACGTAACAAGTGTTAAGAACAGATCTTCATAGAAAAATAAAATTGGAAAGTATGGCATTAAAACATAAACAGTTTCAAACATAACATTACTAACTCAATAAATATAAGTAAACATAAGTCACTAAATAAAATAAATAAGATATAAAAACGAAGTCTATTCTAATCTCTATTTAAAAAAAACCCACATAAACACCATTGCATACGCTGCAAGAAAAACGAAGGTTTCATATTAAACAAAAAAGTTAAATCAAAAAAGTGTTTAGCAACAGTTTTTACTGTATGTACACATCATAAAATAGCGCTCCACACAGTGGCAATACAAGGAAACAAAACTAAAAGCCCCATTTCTGCCCAATGTAATTACAGAATATCTTCACTATATAGGCATTAACATTAAGATCACCTATAAATATAATCTCTGAAATTATAATGATAAAGTCATTGTTGGGTCCGAGTTGGTCGTGCTTGGGTCCGAGTTGGTAGTGGGTCCAAGTTGGTCGTGGGTCCGAGTTGGTCGTGGGTCCGAGTTGGTAGTGGGTCCGAGTTGGCGTGGGTCCGAGTTGGCATGGGTCCGACTTGGCATGGGTCCGACTTGGTTTGGGTCCGAGTTGACCTGATACCTTAGTGTGCACGTTTGCATGTTTAAAATGCTAGGTTACACATCTAAATGTACACTTACACACCATATTTTTTCTTGTCACTAGTTTGGTTGATGGTAAATCAACTTTCTTAATTATTTTTTGTCACAACCCATGTGGTTTTAGATCAAACTACCGGTATTGTTGTACAAAACATGTTCACTACATGTATATTTTTATGTTTGTACATTGCTGTAAGTCACTTCAGGATTGCAGAATGGTGTGTCTAACTACATAGAATCATGCTGAAAGTATTAAATTGTTTGGAGATTATGAAAGGAAAAGTGTCCTTGAAAGCATGTTTAGACTAAACCGATGGCGATGTACAAAAAATCACACTGAGCAGTTGGCCAGTAACTGTACCGTAACTTATTGAAACTTCTACATGTAAGCCAGAATTAGCATACTATTCACCTATACATGTATGTAGGGTTTTTTGCATTAAACTCCACTCGTGTTGTCATTGTCACCCTATTGTCCCAGCGCTCCATTGGTTTGCATGAATGGAGTGTTGGAGACGGGAAGGTTCCACCTCCATCACTCCATTCATGCTAAATAATGGAGCGGGAAAATGGAGGGCAACTACATCTGGCTTGATTTTGCTGGTGTTTCAGTTACTAGCACGATCCCTCATAAGTCCGTCCAGTTTATTCTGGATTGAGAAGAACTCAGCATCTTGAAGAAATTTGCAGGCCCTGTTCATGGTGACCAAGAAAAGTTGCAGAGAAATCACAAGTTTGTGCAATGTAGCTCCTGGAAACTTGTCACCATTTTGCTTTTTGACTTTGGACCTTGCAATTTGAGTAGTTTAACTCATCCTTCATCAACTGTTCCATGATAGGTACAATGTACAGTGTACATGTAGTTAATGGGTCTTGTGTTGCTTTGCATTGCCAATTGATGACAAAATAGTCTGACTGCCAACGTGACCTTCTTCAAGGTGTTATCCGCAAGTCTGTAATTGGAATATAAAAACTGAAAATTTTTTTTGGTGTCTTAAATCAGACAGAAGCATTAATTGAACTTTGGTCTACAAACTAAAAAAAAAAAGTTCAGCTTAGGCCAAAAAAAAAAATAAGTCGGTCTCTGGTCAGCGCGCGCGTCGATTTTAATCATGCGCGTCGATCTTTTTTTTTTCCAAAATGTTCCGCGGTAGCTCCAACAGCGCCCTCTATTTCTGCATTTTTGTTTACCAAAGAGCACCCAAGGAATGGGAAATTGCACCAAGGCAAATGATCGAAAGCACCAAGGCAAATTATGGAGGACACCAATGTACATAAGGACACCAAAAAAACAAAATAGTACCCCACCTTGTCTGTACAATCCAAGCTTGAAGAAAAAAAAAAGAAAAAAAAGCCGCGTCACCGCGTCAATTCCGGAACTTTGGTCTGACCAGAGACCGAATATTTTTTTTTTTTTTGCCTTAGCTGTATTTTACAGTGATGATTCACAAAGCTTTCATTCAGAACAATTGTCATGAAAAAAAAAATGATTTGCAAGTTCACTATTTTCAGACAACGAATGAAAGTGTGGAGTTTATATTGTTTTTTTATATCTAAAAATCGTACTTTTTAATTTGCCTCAATGTTCTATGTTGCAGTTTTGGCAAAAGTAAAACAGTTGTAAGTACCGGATAATGATTGCCATTATTTCTACCGATCAGAAAAGAGTTCTTCTGAATCTTACTTTCTTGTTCTGGTACGTGCAATCACCTCATATTGTGTTGAAACTCGATCTCATTTACATTGTAATTCCAGGGCAATAAGCGGCCAGTAACTATACCAGACACATTTGGCTGGTCATGTACATGTACATGTACGCAATTTCTCTCATTTCACTTAAGGTGTAGGCCCTATGCATCATCCACGGCATCATCACAGTGATATTCCTCACTGTCTTGAAACTGAAACACATTCTGCATGCATCAAAAGTAAACATGACAATGGCTGTCACTGAATGCCACGTCTTAAAGCATGCTATCCCAACGAATGCATGGTGCCTGGGTATGGTTCAGGTAGAAAACTTTCCAAACCTTGGCAAACTTTCTAGTGGTTGGTGTTAAAACGCCTCAATACTGCAAGATCACGATCAATAGCATTGAATAGTTTTCGTAATCCAGTATCTGTATAACATACAAGTGTAAATTCATTTGGCTATGTAGGGGAAGGAAGGCAGAGTGTACACACTATACACACCAATGACAGTGGCAATGTGTGACTTCATTGTACAGTCGACTCTCGTTATACATGTATTATAACAAGGTGGATGGGACTAGCCAAATTACCTCTTTATAAAAGGAATTTTGTTATAAAAGGACAGCGAAACAAAGAAACACAAAGAGAACCTGAGATTTGGGACCTCGGAATTTACTCTTTATAAGCAGAACCTCTTTATAAAAGTGCTCTTTATTACGAGTCGACTGTATTTCTAGGACAGATGCACTGTGCCTCATGATGAATGGAGCAAAAGATGTGCACCCATCCGAAGGGTTAACAATAGCATCTTGTCATGATGAAAGCAAAGGGCCAGGCAAAGTTGAATAGATTAAGTACGAATCTACACTTATTCACTTACATGGTTGTTGTAAATTATCGATGACCCTATAGCCAAATCTTTCTCATGACATACTCTGACTGTGTGCCAAATGCCATGCTTGTATCATCAACGGCATGATCCCATCACCTATCGGCTGTACTAGAACAGAATGGCCCTCGGGCTTCACCCTCGGGTAGCCAAGGATAGCCTTTCGGTACGGTAGCCAAGTAATTATTAGACACTATGGTTAGACAGTTTACACATAGGTCAATTTATCATACTAGAATTTATACTGTGGACATCCACATGTGTACACAGATGGATACAGTGTCTTTAATACAAATATTGACTGCTTCTAGTGTTGCAGTAAAACCAGCCTCCCGAGGTGATCCATGAAGCATTCAATTTGTCCCGAGGCGAAGCCGAGGGAAAATAGAATGCTCCATGGATCACCAAGGGAGGCTAGGTTACTACACCACGAGATAAAGCAGTCAGTAGTTGTTTTATAACACCTCTTGCAGATTATGCTTGATTTTAAGCAATAAATTATTAATTTAAGCTTAATACAATTGAAATGTACTTCAATTTGAATACGAAATTAGTTTACTTGCTCTTTCCAAACTACCCCTTCACGAAATGTTTGAACCCAGCTCACTAGCGCTAGCGCGCACTTTGGAACAATACGCGCAACGCGCACACCTGTATATGCATTTGCATGCATAATAACGGTTCTTATGCGTATGTACTTTGGTTGCTATGGGTATAGTACTTTGGTTGCTTCTTGCTACAGGTAGGCCTATACTTTTGGCCGTGCACGGCAAGACAGCAAAAAAAGCAAATACAATGTGACTCGCTCTTGGCCTATCAAGGAATATAGAGTCTGTGGATGAGGTGTTATAAATTAAAAGGGAACGATTTGGCAAGGTACATGCACAGTTGAATTCATTGACAATAGTCTGGCAGTACAGTCAAGGTACCATAATGGTGGTTTGACTAGTTGCAAGTAATTCTTGGCCCATCATGGGAGTGTGGACTGACATAAAGATGAACTGACATAGAGTGTCTGACCTAACATCTTGGCCAGCCTCCAAGATATGCCGGCTTTCCGGTCACAGTCTCATCGTTTTCTGTTGTTTATGAAGCATGTTTGGCATTTATAACTACACTGCATGTATGAACCAGCACATGCACATAATGTGTGTACATTGATAATAAACTCTTATTGACATGATCCATTTTTCCCCTTTGTGTCTCCTCCTACAGATCTGTGATGTCAACACCGCACCCATGCTGTTAACCCACATAGCCAACCTACCTATATTGTACAATGTATTGATGACTGATAACACAGTTGTTATCATCAGCTGAAGTAGCATATCCTGCCCTCACCCACCCTCCCCCTCCCCTCTCTTCACTCATGTCTTCCAGTGAGAAAGTCTCACACCAAGAGTCGTCAGGTGGCCTTGGGCAGATGGTGTCCCAGCGCCTGTCCCCATCGTTGATTGACCTGCAGCATCTGTCAGAGGAAGAGCGCAACATCATTTTCTCAGTGCTGGACCGTGATGAGCAGCTGAGACAACATGACCAAGAACGAGTCAAGTGAGTTCTACACCCTGTCAATCAAAGTTATTTCTCGTCAAATAAATTTTTCCCCTATTACTACATACTTTTCTTAAACTTTGGGTAAAAAAAATTAAAAAGTGGAAAGACTTTTTATTTTCATTGAATTATAATAGTCCGGGGAAAATGATCAGCACGACAGCATTTTAAGTTTTCTAGTTTACTTCAGTTTTGAACTTACAGCTGATTCAGCTTCATGCACAGTACGGTACATTAGACAATAATGTACATTATGTAGAGGAAGGTGCTTGTCTAAAAGTCAGATCTGACTTCAGCGTGTACATTATTGACCTTCACAGTCAGTGTGAATGGCATCTAAATTGAGTTATCTCTGGACAACTGTCAGACAGTGGAAAGCGATTTTAAGCATGGGGAGCTGGCAAGAAGAAAAGCCATCATGTGTAAACAGCCATTAGTGTCAGCTGTTCCAAGCAGAAGCATTACAGTCCTGGGAGCCTTAGACTGTTGGACCACAGACCCACATGAAGCTCTATGGTCTGACAGAGCTCTCATTCCATGCTATACTTACAGATGTTTGGTTTGGTGTTCAATTGGTTGGGCATATTTGAGGGTGGAACATCCCAACAACGTTTTCATATTTGATGTCTAAAAGCAAAGCATGTATTGCAAAGTACATTAAACTAACCAATTATGTATCTACCTGCACATCTCATTTGAGAGAGGTTGGTTTTCATCGGAACATACAGTGAATTTGATTGAAATCAGACTGCGATTTGTGTAAAAGTACCAAGGAAAATGAAGGCCTATGTGGCTTTTACGCTATCGGCTGTCTTACGCCTCATTTAGCTTAGTTTTAATAAATGTTGAATGTGATGAGTGTTGTGTGTTCAAATTAACTGTTCAGTTGTCCGTAGATGATGGATGATTTTAATGAGTAGACTAAGTACTTTGGGTCTTTAGATGTTAACTGACAGTGATCTATACTGTCTTCATACATGAAAATTAAAAAGATACATGAGATACTGTACATTGTACAGTATGTACAACTTATTCGCAGAACTGGTCCAATTTTGCACAAGAAAATGTCCATAAATACATTGTATTGTACACATGTACTGCGTGTCAAAAATAAATGTCCTACTTTTCATCCTGAATAACTCTGTTGTTTACTGGATGGAAACAAACAAAAATTTCAGACCATGTAAACAAGGTATTACAAACTTTATCCTTGAATTTTATCATCACTTTTTGGGTATTGATAGTGGAGGCCACCCTGCATACCGTACATGTACGTACACACAAATTAAATGCGTGGTCCTGTACCACACACGCTACAGCAGTAGTCATTCAATAAGACGACCCCCAAAATGGACAGAGCACATGTATGCATTCAGCGTAGGGAAGTATTTGTTGATGTATGTAAATGATAACTCTACCTATAGTTGACTATAGTCCTGTTCTGTGTCATTATATTTTCCTTCCAAGCTAATTGGTTGAGTGAACAGATTAGACTTGTAAGCACACGTCATATTATGCAGACTCAGAATGCTACAGTACATGTACGTGTGTACAACCACCATATGTTTCCATGGTGATATTCTGTTAGTTATCCAGCAATATATTGACACTGTCTGGGGTGTCCGTGTGCAACAGGTGGAAAATAGCTCTAATAGGGAAAAATGATCAAGGTTGCACTGCATATATTGCCAGTCATATCATAGACAAATTAGGGGGGAGATGAAAGTCAGTCTGTCTGCATGTGTGTGTGTTGAGTAATGAGTGTCTCAGTCAAAGGCAATTGACAGCAACATTTGGGGGAGGGGTTGTGTTGTCAACATTTGTCAGTACAGTGCATTTTCACTTTTCTATAAATTATCTGAAGGCAACATCTACATTACTGCCAAAATATCAGTTTTGCCAACAAAACAGCTAAAAGTTAAAGACCATAAAGATGACACTTTGATTTAACCAAAAAAAAAAAAAAAAAATAATCAATATCAATTGCTCAAACTTCTTAAAACAAATTTCAGCACTGACAGTTTGTCCAGAATGGGCGGTTTCTTTTGAGGTTTTACATTGGGGAGACTGTGAATTCCAGCGAACGCAGAGCACAAAGCGACGCCGCTTGGCATTGAAAGATGTTTTTATTTTGAGTCACAAGCACAAGTTGCCTCCGAGTTTTATCTCATTATACAGCAAACGATAAACACAAAGTAAAAGCACAAACGCATTTTCGATCTTTTCAATATCATTCCTCAATATGGAAACTTTAGATATTTTGATACGAATAATTAAAAAATTACTATCGGCAATATTGATATAAAAATAATATCAAATAATCGAGTATATATCAATATATCAACGGTGCTTAGTAGTTTATAGTACATGTATGTATGTACTCTGTAAAAGGCATAAAGAGTTTGTGATGATTTCAGGCCCAAATACTACAACTGTAGATTTCTCTCTTAATACTCCCTACTGAGTTTTACTAAGAACAGTACCCGGTCTGCCAAAACCCACCACTGAATTTGCTTGACATAATGCTTCAGGACCAAATCCACTGAAATCCACCACAAACCCACCACTACTATTGATTTTGATGGACTTGGTACTCAATGGCCTGCCTACCAAAATCCCCCAAATGGGGGATGGACTTTGTTGGAGCTGGGAAGGTTAGGCTTAATGGTAAATGGTGTCAAGGAAAGATTCAATTCGCATTTCACTTCATTTAAAAAAATGTATGCATTTCATATCAGTTGATTCACTTTGATATGTACATACTTTCATGTAACATTGTATTTTGTTCATTTTCTTCCCACTTTCATTCATTTATTCCACCTGGCAATATTCACAGCGAGTAAGCATGGTTGATTGCATCTGGTTTGTCATGAATTATGCATGTGGTTTTATTTCCCCAATAACTAACTGCCTGGCTAATTTACTATTTCTGTCCCTTGGGTTTTCTCTTCTCGTTTGGTATGAGGCCATTAACTTGCAAGATGTTCTTAGCCATAGTGGAGCAGGTATACTCTACTGGATTGTCATGTATGATGTTCACAAGTGGCATTTTTGTCAAATTGACTCCCACTATTAGAAACGTGGACTTGAACTCAGTTGATTTAGCATGGATTTTTAATTTGCACTCAACAGTGACTCAGTGTGCACTCGTTAGTTGTAAACCCAGTTGAGACTGGGCTGACTCTTTGCACTTCAAGTGGAATATCTAAGCAGTTTTACCTTTATCAGGGGCATTTCTGTCAGAAAATTTGAAAACTGGAAGATATGCAGTTTGTCAGGGAGTTTAAGACCAAAGGCAGTAGAGCATGTCTCCGTACAGTTTCAGAGAGTCAACCTGCCCACATATGATTTGGAGATGAAGGAGTCGGACATGTCTGATGAGCTGTGCCTCAGACTGGAACAAGTCGGATGCAATAGCCTATGTCCAGCCTGTCAGAATTTACACAAATATACTGAAATAAAGAGTCTTTTAATTCTTTAATCATCCTAATGCCTGATCATCCTTAACCCTAACTCCCTAGCATCTTTTACTAGGACCTGGACCAATTCCATCAAACTCCATCAATCACTGTGCGTCTAATACAAAACTGTACATGACATAATGGAATCCACCACTGATGCACTGGTTGACATTCATGGACTTGCTACACATGGCTTTTATCACAATAGCAGTACAGGAAGCTAGGCAAAATCAATCGGATACCCCTAGCACTGCTTCAGGCCATTAGTCCCAAGTCCATCATTCTCCATCAATATTTAGTCACGCAAGGCTTCCTGGACCAAGTCCCCCAAAATCCACCAAAAAGGGGGATGCATTTTGATGGAGTTGGGGTGGTTAGGGTTAAAGCAACCAATAAAACTGCTCTGAAAGAGATCATCCACCCGCATGCAATCTCTGTCCTGTCATCATTTTGATTCATTTAAACCTAATCAAGGCAAATGTGAGTTTGCGACAGGCAATGTTTGCAGCATCCCCTTCATCGCCAGATCCAATCAGTGGGTCATTGATCATGTTTACTACAGTACCTATCCCTTTGTTAAGAACATCTTGCTTTAAGTATGAGGCGTGGTCTGAATGATTATTAACATTTCCATTTTAGCCTTTTGTCTCTGGGAGTTTTTTATTTTGGTTTTGGTTTTCTTTTTTTGCACGTCTGTTCCCCCTTCCCCCCCCCCCCCCCTTCAAGAAAGAGGAGGTGAGTCTTAGGATTTCCCAACCCTATTGCAGTGTTACCTGATCTCTACTAACTGTTCCACTAGATTTTTGTGTCCTGATATGGTCAAATAACAGGTTCATTTTTCCAAAAGGTGCCATAGATACATGACGACAAAATGTTTAATGATTATAGAGTCATGAGTTTCTGAAGCAAGTAATCTGAAATAATATATTTATTTTTGTTTTCAACACATGTTCAAGTAAAGTTTTTGCAATTTTTCTCTTTTGATTTGTGAAGCAGTTTATTACATACATTTATTATGCATATTTGCTCGTACATGTCGTAATTGCGGCCTCTCACTTTGAATACATTATTAGTTTTTGCTTTTGAGGTTCAGCCAGCTACAGAATAATTAAATGATTGATGTTTCCAATATGTAAGCATCTGGTTATTCATGCAAGCACTCAGGTTGATTTTAAATACCAAAAATTGTCAAAATGGGGTAAATTGTGCATTGTTTGACTCATGTCAGATGGAAGTTCTTCTCTGGCACACGTTCATATGGACCAAGGATAACGAAATATCACACATACATGCAAAGTACTAGTTCCTAAATAAATTATATGGGAGTTTTCTAAATGTGTGAAGCGATGCATGAAGGCGTACCATTGCAATAAGGAAATCAGAATTGTGGATTGATTGCTTGACCATAAAGTATGCATAATCACAGGTAATGGATCATAGATGGGAATTACGTGCACCACAGATATGTACATGGACATTTCTTTCATAGTTTGATAGTTCACAAACAAGGTAAAGCCGTAAAGGCAGTTCAAGATTATA